GAATGAAACGGTGATTAGCGAAATTAAGACAGTTTTATGCTTGGATATTACCTTGGGCAACCTCAAACGTGTGTTTACGGATTCCATCTTGCACGGGTACCAGCTTGAAATGAAATTAGAATGAATGCTCGTAGGCATTGCGTTGAAATCCCAAGCCAACAAGTCCAACTAAAGGCAACTAAAAATCTAGGAAGTCTCAGTTTTCCGAGAGTTGGGGACAGGAACACCTTGGTAAGACTACTGCGAGACGTAATTAATGCTATATCCTTGCCCGTTTTGTTCCCTCGCAAGCTATCTGCCTCTACAGGTTGTGTTGTAACAACACAAGAATAAAAGTCAGGTAAAGTTTTTGCAAGCCCGCAGAAACAACACAATGACATGCTGGTTCCATAAATAATACGAGATGGAAGAGGCTGCCGATGTGCATCTTATCTCCCAGAGAATTTGATACCAACCCGGATCGGCTGTTGCCCAGGCCCACAAGCCTTCTACCATCACGGAATAGGGCCTGGACAGGAGCCACTCCGGGTTTTCACCCCCGAATCGCGCTTGTGGTGAGCGTGCCCCTTGCCACTAAACAAGTCCGCCTCACTAGCAACCAAATTTCTTGAAGGAAGTACACAGCGTAACTGTCGTGGTACCAACTCGTCATAACAACTGCTTGCACTTAGGTTGCCTTTATTTAGGCCCGTACTCCTGCATACCGATGAAAAACATGATTGCTTCCTCGATCGACTTGAAGTTCTCGAGAGCAACCAAAAAGACTATGTTGAGGTAACTAAGCGCTCGAATCAGATCGTAAAATGTCAATGAGATCTCCATCATCCCACCTACAGCCGAAGATCGCAACGAAACTGGAGATTCACTTGCAAATATTGCTAAATAGATCAACAATAGCCATGAAATGCTAAATCGTAAAATCCTATAGATCACCTCTGAGAAGCTGAGCTCTTATGTTACCTTAGGAATGGACCACATGTGGTGTAATCGAAGTGTCGTGACAGATATCGTCGTTGCCTCTTCTTCTAGCACAAGGGGCAATCACCGCTGGCTTTGAGGACGACGGCTTTGATGCCTCTGACACGCTTGCATTGTTGTCCCCTCCTGTCGCAGTTTCCCGCGACCTCAGATCACAAGATCGCCTGGTCACAACGTGGGGGTCTCGACGCGCGCCGCTACAGTACTATGGGAAATGCCGCACCAACGACGGATGCCCTAAAACCCGCACTTTCCTTGTGCGCTCGTCTGCAGGGAGGACGACTCTCTCCTTCGTCAGTCTCGCTTTCTGTCGACTCTGTGGAGCCGCCGCGTCGTCTGAGCTCAAAGAGCCGAAGATCTGCGCAGGAGCCAGGATTCCAAGGAAGGCAACACAGGGCCGCTGCCAGGACGTGTCCCATTATGGCATACGCCTATGGGTGATACGCCTTGAGGGTGAGGATCGGCTGCGCCCCCTAGTGAGCGGTGAGGTTCGTCCCTTAAGACTAGGTCACGGGTTTATTTTTGTTCTGTACATGTCATCGTTGCAGCAGCATAATTAAATGATAACCTGATGTGACGTTCTTTGAAGTTTTCTATGGTTATTTCCATGTCATATCTTATTCATTAGTAATCGGTAATTCTCTATAACGATGGTTACAACACCTCCTGTGCTACGCGAAAACAGTGTTGCAAAGCTTTCGAAATTCTTTCGAAGTGGGTAGTATAAAGTTTGTTCACCAAATTCCCGTCTAAAGTTAAGGTAAAAAAGCAAAGCACTCCGACAGTAGGTTTAAATTCCGGAACCTGTCCCTATTTATACTTCCACTCACGCTCTATTCAGGAAGTGAATGGAAGCGCAAGTAAACCACGCTTGCAGCAGGATCGGAAAGGTGCCGAATCAATAAAAACCTCCCGATCTCGTAAGGCCTAGACTTGTAGGAGTCAAAAAGCAAGTGATGCATGTAACAAACAAATGGTTGACTAACATTGTCTATTAGTTTCTCTTGCTCATCAGTCAAGATTTCTACTCCACTCAGACCCTCGAAGAGGAATGTTCCTGCTATTTCCTTCTCATAGCAGGTGAAAAGAATCGTTCAACGCAGAGCGATTCCAGGTAGGGAAGGCATCAGTACAAATATTTTTTTCTGCGGAATGCCCAAAAGCAGGCCCTTAGTAAGAGTTGACCAATCAAACACAAGTTTTGCAGGAATCGTTCAAAAAGAAAATCAATCAGTGTCGGGATCAGGGAGGTAGGTTCCCAATAGGACGATAACGGACTTCATGCGATAGATAGTAGCCCGACCGGTGAAGTGTCGCGGAATGTGAATTACTTCTCCCTCCATGCCCACTCGCTAGTGAGTGGATCCTTTCAGAAATATGAGCGGAGGTACATGCCAGGCCTAGCGATCCCGGGTTAAAAGGACTACCACAACGATCGTTCAGCAAACGTGTATATTTCAGGAAATGGACGTCATCCGAGAGAGGGCGCTGTCCGAAACCCTTTACGATGACGATCTCCCAAGTCAAACTATGGCAAAGGAGCGCGGGAGCGAACAGGATGCAAAAACACTTGGATAACCGTGGATTTATCGATAGAAAAAAAATTAAAAAAATAAAGGTATAAAGATACAATTTTGGAACGGTATTCATGAAATACTAGGTAGGATTACGATACTGACCTCTTCGCAGTTCGGAGGATGTGCAATTTTTCGGACAGGAGGAAACGCCGACTCGATAATCTGAAAGAAAGATATCACTACGGAATATTTCCGTTTCTGGCGTTGCAACATATCAATATTGATTAACAAGATAACAAAATAATTATAGATCAGAAAGGTATTCCTTTGAAAGGTCTGTCCAGCATCCGGCAACGGCAAATCATTGACAACGGGGTTAAGCAAGGGTTAGTGCTCAGTGACTGACAGTCATGAAAAAGCGACCGAAAACGTTAAAGCATCCATGATAAAACGAGCTTAACAGATTTGCTGGTTTCATCCAGCAGACAATACGGCCGCCGTCTACGGGCATTCCTCAGCTCACAAACTCGACATCATCAATACCTATATGCGAAAATAGGTTTGGAAACTGCAAAGTCGAGACTATTTCATTGTGTATTCCGACAAACGATTGCACAATCACCAAGAAACTGGAACAGCACCAGATGATCCCTATCTAGTGAAATGGATAACATATGATTACATGGACCCCTTTTGTTTTTAAAACAGGTATTTAACGGGAAAAGGAATGGCTTGTGAACACGAATGCGGTCGACACGTTAGCAATCCCGAGAGCACATGGGATCGTCGAAAGACGCTGCAGGCAAGGGCGCTGTACTAACTCCCGCATACAAATCGTCCACATGTGGGCATTTGAGGTTTAGCGCCCTAGTTTGACACTTTCAGGATACAAAAGTTGGAGCCTGTTTAGGCTGCGGAACTACACCCGATACACGAAGGCATTCTTCTAATCAGACAATCAAGCAGGAGTCCTCAAGCAAGTGGAACCTTATTTTCCCAACTCCTTCACCTTTTCAAAAGAAAGTAAAACACTTCTGAAGACAGAGAAGAGAACGAAAGCTACAGTGGAAGGAACTGTGGGAATGTGTTTACTTTAGCTACCAGCCTCCTTGTTCGAATATTTTAGTTCTAAAAGATAAAAAAAATACAGTCTGATTCGCTGCGGATGATGGGGCGTGCAAGCCGTTGCGTTTTGCACAGCGCGAGCCTATCCTCCACCAGTTGTGGACGAGGATAAGAGACAAAAACTCGTGGAAGAAAGAAAAACAAAGGGTTGAGGGCGCCAAACGCAGCCGCGCTGACATGCTCCATGGCTCGCAGTGAATAAGCGTGTACGAACGGCCTTGTTCTAAATTCCAATATCTGTAAAAGTGTTCTTGTGCGTTCAGACTTCATGAGGGCAGCGATTTGGTCGCGCGATTATTTCAATCGTGCGATCGTCGCAGTCGCGCTGCATGCTAACATTGGATGGATCGCTCCGATTTCTCACTTATTATCATTTATTTACCCTCTTTTCTTAGTCACTACTTCAACGCAAAACTTTAATCTTATCAACCTTGAATGGAATTAAGAAGTAACACCACATCACGAAAATGCCAAGGTTTATTGAGAGTCAAACATGGCGCAAAACTTTACGTTCCCCCCCCCCCAAGGATTACTCCAAGAACGCGATTGGTCCATTTGCACGATCACTCCGATTGCGCGATTCCAAACTGCGATGGAAATGAGGGGCCACGCGAACGAATTCGCTTCGCATCGCAAGTCCTGAACGGTGCTTTAGCCACACGAAGCCTACGTCATGTAGAATCAATTTACACACTAGTTTCTGTTTGCTTTATTTGTTTGGTCTCACTAACTCTATCACTTTTGCAATTACAACAGAGTATTCGCCGTTTTCCTAGAGCCCAATGTTGAGAACCTACAACAGGATTTTACTCACCTAGATAAACTCACATACTTACAGGGTCGCGACTTTCCATTCCTGACTTTCCAGACAAAAGGCCAGTTGGACTTCGGAGAAGCGTCAGCCGCCTCTCCCGCCGTAGGTTTAACTACCTTTTTCGTGTCTGATTTTTGGAGCCGATTCAATAAAATTTTGCGAGCGGAAGCGCTATCCAGTTTGGTGGCGTGCCTCTAATGCTGGGTTGTTTATCTACTTGTTTCATTCGGCCAACCGCAGTGCTGACCTTCGTTTATTTTTATCTGGCTCTTCTATAGGCGCCATTTTGCGAATATTTTCGGGTCTTGGGCGCCGCCCACTGTGAGTGACGCCCCGCCCAACTGCGGACGGAACCAATGCCTAAACGTACGTTTGCGCCCGTGCATTTCGATCCACCCATCTTCCCTAAACAGCTATCTCAACGTAATTCCTATTTTTGGCGGTAGTCAAGCAAACATTACAAACAAACACAACTTTTGAGTTAATGCATAGAGGATATTTGAAATCCACTTCTTATGAACTGCAGTAGCAAGTGCCTTCTTCAAGAAATTCATGAACGAGAAATCCTAGATCCTGACCTTGTATTTGGTTTCGTCTTCTAAAAAGTGATCGTTTGGAAATGTGACGTCGAATTTTATGTAGAGATTCCCGCGGATGTCGTGATGACGTCTTTGTGGCATGCCTTCACCCACGATTCCACGCACGCAATCTGTAAAGCCTAAAGTCTGGAGAGGGGTAAAGGAAGAAGGGAAGCAAGGATATTACCACTAACAGTGACCACTTGTGTCATATTATTATTGAGCGAGATAATAGAAAAGTGCACAGAGTGATAACCAGCAGAGTAAAGTAAACAAAGTTTTGTAAATACCTGGCGTTATAATATCACCCGGTTTGTTTTTGAGAATAAGAGTACGTCCATCTAAGTGTTTCAAAGGAATTTCGTATCCACACAAAGCCTCATTTAATGATATAGCTCTAAATGAGTAGAGGTTAGCATTGCTAGAAATACGATAGATCCCAAGGATTAGACCGTAGAGACAACCTACTTTTTGGCAATGAGATCGTCGCCTTCCCTTTCAAATACATCATGAGGCTTCACCTGTATGACGATGACCACATCTCCGGGCTCAATGTCTGGCTGAAAAAGAAAACCATTGGAATAACATAACTGAAATCTGCCCGAAAAGCGATCATATGGGTCGTGGAAGCACATTTCTTTAACATGATATGGGGCAACCGTTCGGTAAATCCCCATCCCCGGAAGAGGATAAGCTAGAGCAGATGTGTAACATACTTCGGAAGTGGGGCGAAAGTAGGCATGTCGGTTTAGGAAATGTAAGTGGGAACAAATGCAAAAGCAGAGTTAGAACGGAGTTAGAACAGGTGGAAATCACGGATATCAGTACGTCGCGATGTACCCACTGCGTTATGTGGCTTCTAGAAATTCACTTCATACCTTTGTCGCGATATCCTGTGCAGCACAGAGATAGAGGATGGTAGCTGTGGTAGCATCGAAGGACGCGGAAGAAGATACAGCGAACTAGGGGAAGGGTTCATCCCAGGAGAGGAACTCCAGGGGCCGTGTGCTAAACTTTTCCCAAGGGGAGGCCCCCTCGTAATCCTACACTCCCTGCCCTTATCTCCACTGATACCCCTCGTCTCTCTGGCTCTCGCCGCTCTGCATCCATACTCTTGTGGCGCACGCTCTGAGCGAATATAGTACAGCGCAGAGAATAATCGATCTCTTCCCCTCTCACCCAACGCATGCCGTTGGGGGAGATTCCGGGTGACTGGGGATGGGGGGGGGGGGAACAGAGATGCAGTGAGGCTGAAGCAGGGAGACGATGGGCATCGATAGAGGTAACGGCAGACAGCGGAGGTTCAGCGGGGGTTTACTGGGGGAGATCTTCCCCTCGAGAGGAAGTACAGCATACGGCAACAGAGTGTGTGAGTCACTCGCGTGAGATCACGGTGTTAAACGCTTTAAAGACGAGAGAGCCCGCAAAAAGCGGAAAGCTGACGCAATCAAAGGGACCAAATCCAATTCTCCCACGACTACATAAGAAGCCCAACTGATGATCAAGAGGCTAACCCGCCAGGAGCTATTTTGCACCCGAGGTAAGCAATGTGCGATGAAAACTTAAGACAGGCTAGAAAGCGGGAAGCATCGGCTGCCGCGGTAAGGAAAGCGGTAAAAACGAGAACGAACATCAGACTGATCTCCTTCGCCTGGAAATGTGATCTTGTCGTTATGGCGCATACCAGGCTCGACGTGAACCTGAACATTTGTAAGGTTTCATCAAAGTTTGCAAAATGGGCTCTAGAAACGCACTGCACTTTTATGCTAAGGTAATCCATTCCATGGACGGGCCTGTTTAAACGCTGTAAAACGTCAGCAGCTTTAAAACGATACCACGTTTGTCACTTGAAAGCTCATGGCTGTGAAGCTGAAAAGTTGTGATAGCTGATGTTCTTTTATTTCTCCGCCCGCTGTTCGACATATGATGACCGCACGTTGCGAGTATGCGCACGAGATGAACGACCTGAGTCCGCAGCACATTCGCAACAACATGTTGGCAACGCGATGGTAACGTACGACGTGGCCTGAAGTCGAGCCGTAGTGACCAGCGGTGCTCAAGGAAACAAATAATAGTAGCCAGGGTACAGCATCGTGATGTGTAAGGTGGTGTAGGTACGACCCCACCCTTTCGCCAACACCAACCTACATATTTCCCCCATTTTCCTGTTTTTCCACCCAAAAATTTCCCATCGAGCGGGGTGAGTATATATAGCCAGTGTGGAAACGGGAAAAATTTCCTCAACTTCCTACCACTTTTCCCAAATTTTGCAAGAATTTTCCTACTTTTTCCCCAACATTCTGCTGTCGAGCGGGGGTCGTCTCCAGGCACTTGTCAACCATAAAGCCCCTCTTCCTTTTCTTCCTCCTTCCTTCTTTTCCTTTCTCTCTTCTCTGATCCCTCCTCCTTTAGCTTCTCTCTCGAAGTAGGACTGGCAGATGCCCGAGAAAATACCCCTGGACCCTTGCAGCGAGAGCGCGTCTGGTTGGAGCGCCTGTAACCGTATATATAGGGGGGGGGCAAAAAAAGTCATTCCGGCCGAGTCACATATGGAAGTTTTCGCAGCCCAGACAGAGGAAGTGGACCAGGGCGGAAGATACCCAAGATCTTCCTCTATAAGCAGGAGCCGGCTGCCGCCATTCATCTTCATGTACACAAAAATATGAAGTCATCTCCAGTCACGGTCTGAGTAGAGAACGCCTTTGAATTTACGTGGCCTCCAAAACAGCTCCGGAACTTCTTGAATGGAATCACCCATGGATAGCCTACCTGGAGACCAGTAGACTTGATCTGCAAGACCTCAAACATCGAGCAGCTCCGGCAACGTCGCTAGGTCCAGGACATCATCTTCACCCCATTTCACCAAGGCGCGGTGTGATGGTGTGGACCGGTCGTACCATGGATGAACCGATATTTTCTTCGTGGCCCCAGACTGAGGGTGTGCGCTGGTGGCTACATCGAGCAACTCGAGAGAATATACCATCTTCATGTCGTCGCCCGTACCTTCTTGGAAACTTTGTACTGCTACATGAACTGGGTGACAACACATTTAATCGAAGGCGTTGGAAAAACTTTCGCCTACTTGGAAGAACGATGAGTACCTGGAAAAGATGAGTATTTAAGCGGGGGGTCCTGAACTAAACCCCCTCAATTACTCGGTTCGGCGGAGCTCAACAGGGTGGTCTACAGTGGCGGGAAATAAACGATCTCGCTCAACTCCGGTACCCGCTAACTTTCGCGCGGCCGAATCTCTCGATGGCGCTCCTCCAGAAGGCTTGTGAGGAATATCATTTATAGTATTTAATGTGCTCTTTAATGTGGTAGTAAAATGTCCGATAAAAATTTAATAAAGTGTAACCTATAAGCCGCCATTAGAAAGTCATGGAGGCAAAATGACTTTTTTTGGCTCCCCCCTGTAGTGCACATGAAACAGCAAACATCACGCAAAAAGTCAAACTAGAAAACCAACGCGGCAAATCTCTCTCAAAGGCACGTAATTCTTCTCTCTCTCTCCCTGCGACCAAATATGACCCCCTATGTGTTTCACACAACGATGCTGTACCCTGGTAGTAGCACGCGTGGTCTTGGTCAGGCATGGTTTGTTATATGCTGCTTGTCGTGTCTGCTTTATTAGCGGACAGAGACGTAAAAAAAAGAACACAGCTATACAAGTCTAGGGCTTCACTGACAACCCCTTCCAATAAGAGGCCCTAATTCAGCAATGGACTTCCTCTCCTCGTTCATGGAAAGAATCAGCCTCATGGAAAAGTGAGCAGTGTGTTTTATACGAGAAGGAATTCTGCGAAACGAAATACCTCTAGAATTTTTTTGACTTCTTCACACTTTTCTCCTCTACAGTTGCCACACTTATCAGATTCGGGAATCCGGGAACCTAAAAAAAATGAACTATGAGTCGGAGTGGTGCAATAGTCCCAAATTAACGATAGCCAAATGTGCCACATAATAATACGTGAGAATAATCATAATAGAAAAGTCAAGGATACCTTCTCCACCGCAATCATTACATCTGACTTGCATTTGCTGTACCATCCCTGGACCGATTTGCTGTACAAGGTTTTTCACCCCTCGACCACGGCAAGAGTGGCATTCGTAAGTTTGTCCAGTTTTTGCACCAGTTCTGAAAAGAGTAAAGTGACGAACTAGGATAAACGTGAGGCCACTTTGAAGTATTCCTACCCCAAAACCGGGCGCCAAACGGTTTCGGGCTTAGCGGATGTGATATTCATGTTAAAGAGGTCAAACTACTCCTAAGGACATGTTATCAGCGAATATGGTTGTTCAGGGTATCCTGGCGCCGTAGTACTGAGTCAAGCGGATGTGATATTCGTGTTCAGTAGGGAGGAGGACGAACTACTCCTCGGGACAATTTCAGCCAAATTTGTCCTCGCAGGTAAAAGTCGGTAAAAAACTGGTCTGATTTCGAAAGATTGGGTAGGAATAACTCAATAGTGCCGACGTGAGATATACAGCTGCTATCGATGCTCACAAGATTTTGGAAGCACTGAGCTTTCAAGAAGCAACGAATTCGAAACTTGGCGGTAATAATCTTAAGAGGGGGAGGCATCGACAATAGATATACTGGCAAAGTGACGTTCACTTAGTACCCTGTAGCCGCTGATGACCTCCCGGAAAAAAGGTCAAAAAAAATCATTCAGAACACCCTGTGGGAACCCGCTGAAAGCCACATGATTACCGAGTTCTCCGGACCTACTCGTTCCATGAAGAAAAGCGATATCCTTCCGCGTCTGGCTCACTGATTGTTTCTTCGCGTCATTCAGCGCTAATACTACCTAAGAACGAGGGAAAAACGAAAACAAAAAAAAACAACAGGATAGAAACCGAACTTCTAACTTGAAAGAGCCTTTGAGTTTTGGTGGGCGGCACAACAGGGAGGGCGTGGAGGGACGTCAGTACTGTCACGTAGGCATTGTTCACAGCCTGCGACCCTTACGAAACGGCGCTTCGGCGAAAAGTAATAAATACATATTGATCGGAGAATCGCCAACCGCTCTGGAGAAACGCCGCCGCGGTTCGGCAATAAGCAAAAGCAAGAGCAATAGACCCATATCGACTTCGCTGGCCCCGTCCTAGAGAAAAACGCCGGGACAGTCGAGCTAGGGTTTTTCGACCAAACGCTCCGCCAAACCGCACGCCGATATGTATCAAAACCATTTCGCGCAACCGCCAGGCTCTTCGCCGAACCATCAATCGTTACGTACCCGAAGCTTTTCGCCGAATCGTTTCTTTCGAGAGAAACTAGGGTTGCAGACTGCGAACAATGCTATGAAGACCACAGCGCTTACGTTTTCTTACTGTGGAGCCACGAAAAGGGAATTGTCTTAAGAACTGAGGACCAGACTACTTGTACAAGAAGGGACGCCGGCTCGATTGACTGATACGCGGGGCACTTACTTTTAAGGACTACCTCGTGCAAAAAACTGGCGACTCTCACAAAGGGGATGACCTTCCTCAGCTCACCGTAAGAGTAAAAAAGAGGAGCATTCAGGTTATTGAGCCAATCCACATGAAGGCACTTCTTTCTGTCTAGATGATGTAGTCTCACTTTTTTTTGCTAGGAGAGCCCTTTAAACATCATACTCCGCTCCCTTTATTCAGTGACAGTAGGGAAACCTGCTCGCTCAATATACATTCGGTCAGAATGACGAGAGCTATAAGTTCGAGAAAAGCAGCGGCACAACACGCACTAGAGTGCGTTCACACGGTACGTCGGCGTTTCTAGCGACTAGGAAATCGTAGGCACCAATTGTCGCTGAGAACGCTGGCGAACGCTCAAAGGACTCCTGGACGTTCAAAACGATGGTGGACGCTCAAAATGCCGGTTCTATACCTACACTTTCCTAGCCGCTCAGAACGCTGCTGCAGATCATGAAAACACACTTATTTTACTCTTGAAAAGTTCCATTTGCAGTAAACCGTTTTTTAACATGGATTTTTTTGAAGCAGCTCATCACTTACCCTTTGCATTTCGTACAGAGTGCCTTTTTTGATAATCGCAGCTTCGATGTTTTACCCAGGTAGACCTCTTCCAGAGTAACATTCAAGGGATACACAGTATCTTGGAACTTCCGTCGTGTTCGACTGAAACAATTCACAATCATTTCTGCAGAGCAGCTAAAACGATCTTACTTACCGCCGTCCGCCACCACCCATTCCAAAGAACCCGCTGAAGGGTGAATCGTCATCGTCGCCGAATATATGAGAGAACAAATCACCGCCAAAGCCGCCTAAAATTGCAAATAATACGGCCATTCAAGTCAATTTTAAAACGCTCCCAATATTCCAAATACGGCAGCCACTATTGCCCTACACTTATACTGCTAACCTCCGCCTCCGCCTTCTTTGATAGCATCCAAACCTCCCATATCATATCTCCGGCGCCGTTCTGGGTTGGATAGAATCTCATATGCGAAACTTATTTCCTTGAACTGAAAAGCGAATATGTAGAACTAGCTGTAAAAAGCTACAAGGCGGTAAGTGAAAACATTAACGCAAATGATATTAACGAACCTGGTCCCCATGATTGGGGTTTTTGTCTGGATGGAATTCCTTTGCTAGTTTGCGATATGCCTAGAAGTACGAATGAGTTAATGATGAAACTTCCCAGCCTTTCTTACCCCCTCCTAACTTGTTTCTCGACCTAGACAGTCATTGCAGCGCAAGTGAAAGACCATACAACGGAAATTATAGCCCTTCCCCAAAGATCTCAAAAATACCCCAGCGTTTGTAACAGATGTCCAGCTTGCCATTTATCACTGCGCAAAGTTTAGAAGAAAATTATGAGGACAAAAGTGGATTGCGTCTCACCTTCCTGATGTCGTCATCACTTGCGTCAGGCTTCACTTTGAGTACATCATAGAGACGAGTATCGACTGGACCATCGTGGGCTCTACCCATACCGCCCAATCCGCCGTGGAAGAACATAACTCACCTGAGAAAATGTTCCGGAAAGCTGAAGACCTAACCGGCAGAAATAATTCCGAAACTAAGACCACACAGCAAGTCGATGAGAGCCAATTTCTCGAACATTCATGGCACCCAAAGTGCGCCAAACCAAGTTCACGTCAATAAGGTGAACTCGTCCGCTTCGCTTTTCGGGACAACGGGCCAGTTTCCTGCGGAAGATTTGGACTATATCATGGAAGTTGGTGCATTAACAATCGCGGTATTGTAACTAATTCGGTCACATTTCCTCTCTTGAAAGAACGATGAAAACCATGCAGTATGTGAGGAGCCTATGGCTTTCCTCGGAATACTGGGCAGAGCACAGGTTTTTCAGTACAAGCCCTGGCCTCATTTCCTTCGACATTACCACCGAGGGCCGGCGCGCCGTCGTTTGGGAAATCACAACGGGTGAGGGCTGTTTTTGACCGCGAAGGAGCAGAAGTCGTAAGCGCAGGACTCATTCAGAAGTGGGAAGAGCAGCAATACTGACAATGAGATGTCGAAAATCACTGATTGAAAAAAGATTCATTCTTGACGTTTGTTGTGTAGATCATCCAATGAGATACCTGAAGGCAGAGGCAAGCTCATAAGTAGGGAATGAGGTGATAACAATAAGCGCGGTAGCCGTCCACGTAGGCACCATGGTAGAAAGAAACGGAATACAGGATTCACTTGGACCTTTCTGAACTGTGTCGTATGGCTGAGCCCGAAGACCCTACCGTATCCGATCCTGAGAGACGGAGCCACTTCGCTGACTCGACTCACCAGACGACGCAGTTCATGGCATGGCTATTTAAGAGTCCGCTCTCGGAGGCAGCGTTCATACTTCGCGACAGCAGCGGCGATCGCGGCGACCTCGACGACCCCGGCGATCGCCGCGATGCCGCGATCGTCGGTGCATGGCAGCGCGCGCCCCAACGCTACTGTGGATCGCTCGCCTGATGAATAAGGGAATCCAACTTGTAAGACCTTCTTTACTCTTAACAATGGCTACTAATTGATAAGTTACGACTTTCTATGCATAAGCAGATCTGGAACATAAGGGTTTCACTTCTTTCAGGTTGGGATAAGGCCAGTTCTTTCAGTGGGTGAGCTTCTTTTGTTTTGTTGTTTTATTGTTTCAATTATACAAGCGCTTCGAAAGGTGCTACGTCTGAACTGTTCGCTGTTCCAGACTTCCAAAATATTTATAGTTTACAAAGTCGAGTCAAAACACACGAAGAAAAAAGAAACAGAAAGAAACTCACCTGGAAGCCAAAACACTAATCATTTTACGCAATATCAACAGGTGAAAACATCGATAGCCTCAATGTATAAGCTCCAACCAATGAAAAAAAGAAACAATAAAACTAAAACCTTAAATGATGATATTACGCTCTTTTTGCTTCATTTCTATCCTGAACGCAAGAAAGAAATAGAAAACAAAAAGCAATTCAATATTAAATACCAATATTAATATTAAATATTTCCCTTGAAGCCTGAACATTAGTTTGGAAATACTGAAGCAGTGTCCCAGATTCCAAGAAGATTTTCTCTTCCCAAAACTTCTTGAACGTGCTTTCTGATTTCCGGGATCCTCACTATACCAGGGGGGCCAAAAAAAAGTCAATTTTGCCTCCATGACTTTCAAGGCGCTATAAGTTACACTTTATTAAATTTTTGTCGACATTTTTCACTACCAAATATTTAAAGAGCACATTAAATTACTTATAATGATTACTCCGCACGAGCCTTCTGGAGGAGCCGCATCGAGAGAATCGGCCGCGCGGAAAGTGAGTGGGTTACGTTGAGCGAGATGCGTCGATTTCTCCGCCCCCGTAGACCACGCCTCTTTGCAGTCCGCCCGAGCTTAAGCAGATTGAAGTGGGTTCAGGGTCACGGGGACGATACTTTCAATATTAATCTTCTCAGGTACGAAACGCCCTTGCCATTCGAAGTAGGCGGAGTTTTTCGCAAACCCTTTGATTCCATGTGGTGGCAACCAAAACGATGTAGCCAACACCAGGCTTCTCCAAGAAGCGTTAGCGGGCGAACCACATGTAGGGTAGGATATGTCTTCTGCGAGTTACTTGATGTAACCGCCGCAGCGCTCAACCTTCCAGTCCGGGTCCTACAAAAGAAAATATCGGTCTTCCCTTTCGGCAGATACCCCCGGTGCCATACCATCAACTCGCCGCTCTCGGCGGACTACGGTGTAAGATGATGTCTACGCCGCGTAGCGACGTGCGCGTAGGCCTGGTCGATGTGGGAGGGGTCTTGCAGGTCAACGAGTACCTTGCCTCCCGCAGGTAGCTAGATCTGCTGGGATTGACTTCATTACAAGAAAGTTTCGCATGCTGTTCGGAGGCGACGTGAATCTCCGCAAGGTGTTCTAGCAGTCAGGCCTGCGACTGGAGATGACTTTTGCATATTTTGGCGTAGCATGAAGGCGTTGGCGCAAGCCTGCTCCAGGTCTTATAGAGGAAGAAACCTGGGATATCTTCCGCCCTGGTAACTCATATCCCTCCTAGCTGTGTGGGCTGCTGAAAACTTCGTTGATATGGTGGACTCGGCCGAAATGACTTTTTTTTTGGCGCCCCTGTATATAATCCTATGGTGTGTGTGGTGTGTGCTGTGTGTGTGTGTGCTGTATGTGGTGTGTGGTGTGTGTCGTGTGGTGTGTGTGTGTGTGTTTGTGTGTCATTTGCGAAAATTCAGAACACCTATCCAGTAGCGTTAGGAAATTAATTCCAAGATATGATAAGGGGTTGGGGAACAGGGAAACACTTTGGTGGTTGACAGGAGGTGATAAACACTTGATACAGATTGATAAGGGGCCTTAAAAGGGGTGGGTTGACGTCGAATATCTGCAGCGTGCAAAGTTACAGCAGGCTGCGGGACCGTGATGTTCAGAAGTGATATACACGGTAGGATGGATCCACTTTTTGGTGGGTGACAGGAGTGATAACACCTCTATTGATTTGAATAAGGGGCCTTAGACGCCGAAGATCCACATATTGTCAGCGCAGG